CGTTGCCCAGTACTGTGCATGCTAGATCTGTCCACGCGCTCTTCGGCGTATGACTTGCGAGCGAGCGAGCGAGTCCTCCTCCCCCTCCCTTGCCTCCCCCTCGCCCTGCCCCCCCCCACTGGCTAGGCGGCCCTGGGCGCCCGCGGGGCGCCCGCGGCGGAGGCGGCCCGTGCCACGGGCCGGGCGCTGCGCTCCGACGCGAGGCGGCGGCGGCGCCTCGCCGCCGCCGTGTCCCTCGCGCCCTGGCTGTCGCGTCGGTCCCCGTCGCCGCCGCCGTCCCCGTCGCCGCCGCCCTCGCCGCCGTCCGCCGCCGCCGCGGCCGCCTCGCCGCCGCTGGAGCCTTCGCCGTCGTCGCCGCGCCCCGGCGTCTTCACCGCCGCGGGTCGCCGCCGTGCTCGTCGTCTGTGTCGGCGTCTTCGTCGTCGCGGCTGGGGGCACGGGAGCAGGACGAACGCGGGCAGGGGGCTGGAGCGGGGGGGAAGGGGGCGGGGGCAGGAGGGGCTGGAGCAGCAGCGGGCAGAAGGTGCGTCGGCCGGAGCACGAGCGGGCGGTGCAAGGGGAGCACGAGCAGGATGGGGCGAGTCCGTGCGGGGCCCCGGGGGCGTGCGCCTCGCCCTGTCCAAGAGGCCCCCGCAAGACGACAGGCGTGGCGACGCCCTTGCACTCTGCGCCGAGCCGCCCGGGAGGCCCTCGAACTCCAGCCACGTGGGCCGCAGCGGCGGGCCTCGGGGCGAAATCGGGGTGCGCGGGGAAGGGGCCGCTGGAGCCGCGAAGCTCTCTGCCTTGCGGCCCGGGCGGCCCAGCACCAGCCAAGCGTCGCACAGGGCACCGAGAGCGGGGCGCGACACGCCGCTGGCCGCGGCGAAGCGGCGAAGCGGCGAAGCGGCAGCAGCCCTCGGAGCCGTCATCGCACTCCAGGGCTGCCTCCACGCCCTCCCGCGGCTGCAGTCAGACCCCCGACACCTCCCGGGCCGCCTCCACGCCTCGCCAGCACGGCCTGCACGTGAGGGCCCTCGTCGTCGGCCTCCAGGCCGCTGCCAGCAGCAGCAGCAGTGAGCCCGCCCCCGTCTGCCTCGCGGCGCCCGCTGGGGGCCTCGTGCGGCCAGCGGCCCGCCATCCGCGGCGGGCTGCCCGTCGGCGGCCTCCGCCTCCCAGGGCCGTGGAGCTTGCGGCCTCCGTGTCCGACCCCGCGGCGCCCAGCGGCCACAGCAGCCCGTCGACCGACGGGCCCGGCCGCGCCGGGTGGCGTGCGGCGCCTGGCACGACCTGCGGGGCCGCTGCTGCGCACCACAGGGCCCCGCTCGGGAGCGGCATGGCGCAGGCGTCCGACACGGCCTGCCGCGCGGCCGCCCCGCCAGCTCGTTCCGCCACGCTCCGCGACGCGGGCCTCCACGGTGCAGTGGAGGCCCATGCCAAGACCCATGCCAGGGTGTTTCCTGGCATGGGCCTCCGCTGCATCGTGGATACGGGAACGAACAATGACATGAACATAAAAACTCGGAGGCCCGAGAAATCCGCGCGGGCCTCCGAGTTTGTATGTTCATGTCATTGTTCGTTCCCCTATCCACGATGCAGCGGAGGCCCATGCCAAGAAGGTGCCCTGGGTTTCTGGGGTTTCGATGGTCTTGCCATGGAAAGCGCGGCGTTTTCCCACAGCAGAACTCCATGGACGTCCTGGGGTCTCAGGGTTGGGTTTCTCGCGGAAGGTTTCTTGTGGTCGGGCCCCTACGGTGCATTTCACGGCGACGTTCGACTCCAACGCCGCTGCGGCGCGCACCGGTCGCGACCCATGCTGGGGCGCGCGGAGCTCGGCCGCGTAAGCCACCAGCGTCCGCGCCCCAGGCGTGACGGCATGCAGCGCGAAAGGAACTTCAGAAAGCATTCGAAAGCCACTGGAAGCCGACCACTACGCTCGAAAGCCATCGAGAACCGCAGATGATCTCCGACGCGCTCCCTCCCACCTCCCCGCCTCCCCCTTCCTTCCGCCGCCCGTCGTCAGTCCCACATCTTCTCCCCCCTGTCCACTGCCACCCCCTCCCTGGTCGGCAGGCGGGCTGAGAAGAGCACCCAGGAGGAGAAGGGCGAGGAGTTGCAGGTGGAGGCGGACGACAGGAGGACAGGAGGGCGACAGTGCAGGAGATGGCGGAGGAGGGCGGGAAACGAGGAGGGGCGAGGGGAAGGAGGGGGAGGAGAAGGAGGAGGAGTAGGAGGAGCAGGCGGAGGAGGAGGAGGAGCAGGGCCAG